ATAAATTTATCATTTCTCTGTGCTGTTCATTTTTTGGATTCACAACATTTAATTTTTACATATATAAACAAAAAAATAATGCAAAACCCCCACACCTATAACAACTGAAAATCGCAATGTTTTCCTCTTTAAAGCTGAGTCATGTAAATGAGGAGGTTCTGGTTTGCTGGGGGTTTTTTAAGCTGGGCAGAAAAATGTTTGAAGACTCTGGATTAGGGAAAAACCAAAATTTCTGCAGAAACATACTAATTCCAGTAAAACATAACAGAATTGTATATTCTTTAGTGATGAAATACTTTACTGCAGCAATTCGTAAGTCATGGTAAGCATTTGGATGATTCTTCCAAATTTCAGGGTTTTATTCTGGAAAAAAATGATGACTTTTTAAAATTTGATTTTAAACCAAAGCTTCCTGAAGCTTCTCATTAAAACTTAAAAGTTGATGGTCTAAGCATGGGTATGAGAACCCAAATCCTGCAGAAGCAGCAGCCAGGTGTGTAGATGTGAAGGGAAGGACAGAAACTGCACAATCCCACATACATTGGGAGCGAAGGCTCAGTTTTCCTCAGTGCCTAAGGCGGGATGCAGGTTTTAAAACAAAATGCCAAACGTTTTTTGTTCAAAAAGAACTTGGCAGTGAATCCACTAGTTCTGTCACATCATACAGACGGTGATCTGATCATCCTGCAAGCCTTCTCAGTCTGGTTAAAACAAAACAACTCTGTAACATTAGAAGTGTAAACAGACCTCCCTCTCTCTAGGGCCTGTCATCTCTCTCCTTTGCTCGATGCTGGGTTTAAAGCTGGCAGAGTGAACCCTCTGTGTCTCCTAAACCCTGGGTCAGATGAACTTCATCATGAATTTCAACACTTCGTATACTCCATAAAAAACTGTTCTTAACTGGGCCACATACATACAAAGAATTTTCTTTGGAATTGCCACTTAATAATTCACAGTTTGTACCTGGAGGTTGGGCATAAGTAGACCTCTCTCCTTCACATGAAATACTGATTTAGAAATTGAGTGGTGTCTGGACTCCCATTAAACACTGATGACTGCAGCACACCCTGCCCCTAGATGAGAACAAACTCCTTCAGCGTCCTGGAGTGGATATTAGTGTTTGTCTTCTGCCAGCCTGCACTTACCAGGAATCAGTGCTGCTGCCTGCTGTAGATCATCGCGGGCTCCAGCATTCCTTTACTTAAAGGCACAGAGGAATGCCTAAAAAGTCTCAAGCAATTTAGGCAACTTCTCTTATATATAGCAGGGTCTCAGTCACATATCTAATGTGCTCAAAGCTGTGAGAATTCTCTCTTCTGTATCATCTGAGTCTGCTCTTCTTTACGCAGTTAGGAACATGCATGCATTGCCCACTGGAGAAAGTAGCTGCTGGCTTGCAGAGACTTCATTGCCCAAAGTACTCACCAAGTCTACATTGATGGGAATGGTTTTTTTGGATGGGCGAAAACAGAGGAGGAGGCCTGGCTCCAATATGCACTAATTTTCCAATTAAGAAAACAAATTCTAGGGTGGCTTTAGGATTCCCACATCAGTCCCATAAAGGAAAGTGAACTGCTGTGAACAGAGCCTCCTTGCTGTGCCAACAGGATCAGGTCTTAAAATTTATCAAAGCCCGTAAATTGCTATCTCCCGATCATTTAAAGGGAAGATAACCAGTTAGAGTTCCTTACTTATATATTTGACAGAGTTGTTTTCCCCCAGTGTCTCTGAGGATGGAGAAGAAATAACAGTCCTAGCTGTTAGGAAAGCAAGAGGATGCCAGAAGGGTTCTATCAAACTCCTAGGGAAAAGGAATAAAACCACTTGGCTTCACTCATTTTTTTTGTAATGTCACTGAGTATGGGGAGGGAACAGGAGTGCAGGCAGCAGTGCAGCCCTAAGAACCACAGCTGAGCAAAAGGATCTCTTGTTACATTTCCAAGAGACACATATGCTAAGGATGAGTGATAGACCCCATGTGTTCCAAAGAATAAGCCACATACAGACATATAAGTATATATACACACACACGCACACAAATTATATATATCTAAAGGCTGAAGCTCTGGAGACCATGACAAACAGAAGGCAAAGAAAATAAAAAGCATAGTTCACACGATACGAGGTGAAATTATAAAAGAGGTGAGAACAAGGGCAGAGAAGTAAAAGAAGTTCACACAGCAAAAATGTTTGGGTGGAGTAAAATTAGTAAAGCATTTGTTTAGATTATAGAAAAAATGAATATGAATGGGGTTTTTTTTTAGTGACTTAAAAATCACAGTGAGATTGTTAAAACAAGCAAAAAAAGGATGAAGTGCTTGTAAGAGTACCCGTAGCAACAGCATCAGAAAAACTGTCAGCATCTGTACTCTCATTAAGTTTATAAAAAGGATACTGATACTGTATTGCCTAGACAGCATAGCAACTGCCTCCTAAAAAAAGGGAGATTTCAGACTCTCGTGAAAGAATGATTAGCACAAAGCATATCAACTGGGTCATAATCCATGTGAGAAATTCAAGGCCATTAACGGTTGCCATAATTGGTACTCTCATACACAAAGTGGATCTACATCAGGCAGTCAGCTTACAGAGAAGCTCTGAGATAACTCCCAGAGTTTGATGTAGTATATGGTCACAAGACATACATAGTAAATTCAAGTGAAAAGGTATCAATATCAACCTCAAATACTGAATTATTATTTATGTTAACAAACCAATAGAAAATCCAAATTAACTAGAAATTGAAGTACTTCTTTATACACAATTTTTAGCGTATCTTCATGCTGGTTGGACCACAGACATCTGATTCCTAGGAATGCCAATAAACTCACACAGGCACCCCATCAACACTAATCAGCCAGGAGTTTCATTTCTTTCCACTAACATTTCAGCTATGCAGCTGAATAGCCACATCTTACTGCTAGCAGTGACACATCACAATATTAAAAGTGGTACAGACAGGACAAGTATGAGTGGCTGATCAGACAGGAATCAGAGCATCTTTTCCTATTACCCTCCTCTAAACTTACTCTAAAAAGCTGTGTTGAAGTTTGCTGGGGAACCGCTTGCACCAGCTACAGAGCTCTATAAATAATTCTTATGAGCCAGTTGCTCACTGTTCAACTACAGGCAGTCTATTAATATTTGTTCCTTTAATTATTGTAATTACTTAGTATTCACTGCATCACCTCTACTACACAGAGCATACCTAAGTAAGCAGATTTCTGCTGGAGCTCAGTCAGTCTCTGCAATCGTTCTTCATTCTTGCCTTTCAACTGATCAACATCGAGGCTGAAGCTTGAGTGCAAAGAAAAGCTGTCAGGCTGCAGCAACGGTGTCTGGCCTGGTGGAACATCCTCCTGCAGAAAATCAAAAAAATGCACAAATCATTCAGTTAAATAGCATCCTTTTTAAAAGAGCAAATAGCTATACACATGCACTCTCAGTATCCACATCATCTAGGCACTAAGGAACCACAGGAACTATCTGATGTTAGATCTGTGGTCCACCTTCATATTTAAGCCAATCCAGTTACCATACATACAGCACACTCCAAAGCTTTCTGCTTTATTCGTCTCCTCTCCCTTGCAGATGGTGGAAGCTGTGGTGATAAATTATCTTCTCCTAAGGCAGGAAACGTTTCCCCATTAGCACCTGGAAAAGAAGTGAAATCATTTTCAAAGAAATCAAAATACTAGACAGTGTTCAAACTTGTTTATGTTTTGAAATGAGCCAGTATATTGTACTTTATTTAATCACAGGAATCAAAGGAATGTATTCATTAGGACATCTTGCATGAAGCCAGTGATAATCCAGATGCAGACAAAACAACAAGGTACCGCAACAGCAGCAAGGAATGAACTTCAAGCAAAGGCAAGAAATATCTTGAGATATATATTGAGATCTCTCTTACATAGAGGATAAGGCATTTCACATCCTGCAAATTCACCACCTACCTTACTTCACCGTATCTTGTTTATACCTAGACCTTTAAAGAAAACGAGTACTCAAATGAGTATAGGAACTCTGCTTGAAAGAGAGAACATTAGGCAAATTAGAGGCATAAAAAGATACAATCATGTAATAAATTATGTATGTAAATATGTTACATGAAATACATAATAATGTTACATGGAATGATAATGTCACATGGAATATGATAACATAATCAATGCCTTAATCACACATCCTTAGTCATATCTTAGGCTTTTCATGTAATAAAGTGTTACAATCTGTTCATACAAAAATAAATAACTAAATAAATTTTTGATCATACCTCTATCACATTACAGTGGGGGAGTTTAATCTATTTTTAGAATATAAATGAACCCTAAGGTGATGTCTCTGCTTCACACTTGTTTTACCTATTTCCCCCTCTTTTGCTGATTCTGGAAACTACTTCAAAATACAAACTGTTTCAAACAGATACTTTTTGTCTCTCCAGGACCAGTAACCACTGCCTGGGGGCTGCTTTATGGCTTTGCTGCTGCTTGGTGCGGACAGTGGGCTGTTTTCTAGTTCAGCCCCTCTAGTACCTCCAAGAACAGAGCCTCCCAGAAAAAGAAAGGACTCTGCTTAACAAAACCAGTATAGAGTCCATTACCATTTTACTCTTTGTAAATTAAAGTCACCATTTGGAAAGGCTCTTAGTCTAGTATGACACATTAAGTTTAAAAAAAAAAAAAAAAAATTGTAAATATATATATACACGCACACAAACACACACAGAGTACCGAACAATTCTTGCAGCATTTGTCTGAAATGACATACTGTGACATTAAAAATAAACCACAACTGTGGAAAGAATGGGCTTTTCATTTCCTAGCAATTTGAAAATAAATTTTAATGAAATATTTTATATCATTCATTAGTTTCAAAGATCTTCAAATGAAATTTTATAAGTAACAATTAAACAATTATTTTGGTTGAAAATTGAAATACTTAGGTTTGAAAAATAAATTTGATTGATATCAAGGAAGTTCAGGAAACAAAGACATATTTTTTAAAAAAAAATTCATATTACCAGTTGGTTTTTCCCTAGAAATAAAAATTTTATTCCCCGCTCCTCTTTTCCCTCCCCCAGTTTTACCAAAGGTACACATGCTGTCATCACAAATGTTTCAGGTAAAAAAATCAAAGCATAATTTTTAAATGGTATATGGCTAACAATCCATTTATCAGAATTCTAGTTACAAGATCAGTTGAACTTCATTGTATTCAAAATAGTGCTATTACTCTGAACACAAAAAATTGTTTAATCATGTGAATTTATCACAACAGAAACAAAGTACAAACTAAAAAAGAATTTATTTGTACCTTTAGTGTTTCATCAGTGTAAGATGCTACCTGTTCTTTTAAGCATCTATCACTCAGATACTGCTATGCAGATGTGCTTTCAAATCACTGCATTAACATCAATGAATTCTAGGGCTTCAAGTGAGGCAAAAAAAGGGGGGGGGGGGGGGGGAAATGATAAACCTCTTTATTCCTAACTGCCTCAAATTTCTGAGCCCTAGGAGATGAAGACAAATCCATTTGTAATGCTGACATCTATTACAAAATTGAGTTAGATTTTAAACCCATGTCAAAAAAAAACCAAAACAGAGGTTAGTGTTATGCTCTTTCATATGTCTATACAAAACATTGTTAAAATACACAAGTATTTCACAAAAGACCCTCCGACAACATGAGCTGCACAATTCACAGAGAAGACAGCCCACAGATAATGAGAGTTTTTATTTTTCATTTCAGGGATGGAAGTCACGAGATTCATATTTAGAATTTTAATAGCTATTTGTAAAGCCCAAATAATGCAAAGGGTAACAAAGTTTTAGTTAGTGTCTACAGCTTGGTATTGGGGAACATGCTTTTCAACAGAGTCATAAATGATCTGAGAAAAAAGAAAAAGAAAAAAAAACAGGGTGAATAGTATCATAAGTTAACTCCATCATCTCACTAAGCTGCAAGAATCAGCTGGAGTGGGAGAAGGAGGAAATAGGAGAGAGGACTATAAATATCATGAACCTTGTGAAAGTGGTGAATAAAACCAAGGAGCACCCCATTACACAGGTGGCAGATTCAGAGTAGACGAAAGGAGAGACTTGACAGAAGGCACAGTGTGGAAATTTATCCACACAATGCTGCTGATGGTAAACAATTAGACAGATTCAAAAATGCTGATTCTGATTCATGAAAGACAACCTATTAAAGATCCAGCTTAGCAAGACTTATTAAATGCAAACACACAGCATTTCACTCAGGAAGCCTCTGAGCTACAAGTCACTGGAGGCTGGAAGGGTGCTCCGCAGTGTTGCTGCATGCCTGCCCTCCTCCTTATATTCTTCCCCATGCACCTATTCTGGCTACTGTTAGAGACAGGATATTTGGCCAGATTCTAGACTGATGGACTCTCCTAAAGCATCCTTTCATCATTGGGTCTGTAAATAACAAATAGTATTTCCTAACCTGAAGAAGAATGTATTGCAGACTACAGTGAATACTAAATACAGTGAACAAGCCTAAAAGCTCCATCCTGGGCCACTCCCAATGCCAGGTTATATCCTGTACTCCAGGACTTGCACATTAACAGAATAAGCTTGAATACAATTCAAATGAAAAATTCTGCTTTTAACCAAAGCCAGAGATAACAATCATTGGTATATAGAAACATACCTAGTTTCATTAAAAAGCACTTGCAGGAATCTACTGCATCTCCCCTACAGCAAAGAATAAAAGCATCTATGATTTCCCATAGATGATTGAAGAGAATTTCAAGGTATTGTAATGCATGCTAATGGAAAAAACGTGTAGAAGCCTGAGCTAGTTGGGTTTTTTAAAAAAAGAGAAGTTCTAGCCTTATTATTTCTAGTGACTGGAAACTAAACACATCTGAAACAGCACTTTTACTTACCTGCATATAAAGGTTGAATAAAGAGACATAAGACCATGTGAGACATAGTCCTCTATACAAAAATCTTAAGTAAACTAAAAATCATCTACTTCAGATGATTAAGAAGTGACAATGTTTACAAGTATGATGTTGCAAGTTATGTGAAATGAAATAATGTGTGAACAGCAGAAAAGTGAGTAATTTAGAATCACTACTTTATACCCGTATAATCGTACTTAAAATCAAGCATGCTTGTAAAACAAAAGAATAAAAATGAAAAGAATTGCTGGCTGCCCAACACTTATATTTCACCATGGACAGCTCATAATTGTAAACTGTGATTGCTAATAAATTATTTTATTTGCTGCAGAACAATAGAAGAGCATTGCATATTCTACCATTGTAACACGTTTGCTGAACAAATATTAGCTTTTCCTTATCCAAAGATGGGAAGACGTCAAAAAAAGCTCCTTGACAAGGCTAACAACCCAGTTAGAGCACAATGAGCATGGAAAAATGCTTTCTAATGAAAAGATGTGAAGTGGTGTAAGGCAAGAGAGCAGCATCATAAATTTTAGGTGTGACCTACACAAATTTATTGCAGTACAATTCCATAAAGATCTGCATTTTAATTTGGAGGCATAATTTTCTAATACTTCAAAACAATCACCATAGAATCACCCACCGCAACTTGTAAAACAGTAATAATAATTTTAGAGACACATCATTAGATTAAACGACATGCTTGTACACTCATAACACGGTTAAGGGGAGGTATAAACTCACCGATAAAAGCGCTATCTGATTCCAACAGTGAATTTTTCAAGAATTCATTAGATTCATTCCTGAACTACAAAAGTGAAACAGAAGACATGCAAATTCAGATGCCTCAATATCTTTCTGGGACCAAGTTATAATTAATGTAAATTAATTGCCAAACTTCTGCAAAGCAAACAGCAGCTCTACAGTGTTCTGTACTATTCCTTACTTTATGGCTATAAAAAAGGCTATACACATTCTTAAATAATTCATGTTCTCTTTAAGCATTAGAGTTTTTTTACTTTTCTGTAGTAATCTCATTGCTGAAATTGCTTACACATGGCAACTGTTGTGTTGATGTGTGTAACACAGACATTTCCATCAAGAAATACACCCTCGTCACTCTGCTTGAGTTTCAGTCAGCACTGGAAGTGAGCTTTGCACCTGAGGTTTGTATGAAGTATTGATCAAACAAAGAGTGATTCCTTATGTTTCACTTAAAGCATTAAAATAACGAATTTCTTTATAGTAATAACAAGCACTAAGAGTAATACTTCTAGTTCACTGCATAGTTGCAACCATTTGTTACAGAAATTCTACTATGGAATAATTTATGTTGAAAACCGCTCTGAAATCAAAGCAGTAGAAACTATCAGAGAAAACAGAACAAGAGAAAACAAATATTTTACTGCAAAACATTGCTCTGAAGAAGAATTTTAGGCAATAAGTTACAACTATAAAATGCATTAAAGTGATTTTTTTTTTTTTTTAAAATAAAAAATGTTTCATTTCTGTGTATAGTTACAGTATTACCCTTGAGGCTAATGGCTTTGCTCTTGCACAGTCTTCTATTTTGTATGGTTTCACATTCCCATGAGACACAATTGTTATTCTGTAGTTTGGGCTAGTGCAGAATTCCAGTTTGATAGCACTTTATTTCGCTCTTTTCACCAAGTCAGAAAATAAACATCCCATTTGAGACAACGGATCTAATTATTGACTGCCATGTGCATCGCTTAAGCCATCTGAATTCAGAGCAACTGCTTCTGGCTTGGCTTTTTCTACTAACTCCCACCCCAGCAATCTAATATCATATGAATATAAAATAAGTACCAATGAATATAAAAAGAAGGGAGTTAAAGAATCAAACTATCTCTATATACAAAGATAAACAACTTGTATGTCAAGTTTAAAGAAGCTGTTACTCATTGTATTGACAAGCAAGAGAAGTAAATAAGCTTGCTATCTTGTCACTTGAGTGTAATTCCTTTCTCCAAATCTGTGAAAGACACAATATTTCTCACACATGAAAAAGGCAAAGTAATATATAAAAAACCTATTTTATTCTTACCAGTCCCATGGTTTGTGCGTTACCGCCAGAAGCAGAATCATCTTGGTCAACAAGGGACAAAATGATAGTATTGACATAAAAACAGTTAATACTAAAACATATTAAAAGTTTTATCAGCATATTATTACAAAAATGAAGACCACTATGCATTACTTCTTTAAAATTACACACATTTTAATGAATACTTTTAAAACATTTGAATGCAATGTTTATTTCAGTTTCCTTATGTCAATTCAAGTAGAACCAGAGAAATCAAACAGAATTCAGTAGTATATTATTTCTAAGAATGTTGAGCATGTGCAAGACCTTCTTAAGGCTGGATTCATCAGTCTCTCCCAAAGAGCAAACATACTTTTCACACTAGAACTATATTGTTCATCGCTAATAAAAATCAACCGTTTCCCACCTTGTTCAAAACCTGATTTGTTACCCAGCAAAAGGAAGCGTAACTATTTGGCTATTGAAAACCAGGTTTTTTTAAGAAGATGTAATCACACTTCATTAAATGCTAAAATTGCACTAAGTTGTGCTGAATTCTGAAAAAGTTCTATATATTGCAACAGTCAGAACTACTTTTGTGCTATGTTTACAACAATATTGTAAACACTTGTTACAGAAAGGTCATGTCCAAGTGTTGACTGAATAATGTGAAAAACATCAATTTGTGGGAAGGCAGCATGGTTCAAGCCATCAAAGCAACACATTAGGACACAAAAGGTTGCTGCATGAATACTTGGTTTCTCTCTTTTACCCTTTTATGTTTTGTTTCTTGATACCTTAAGGTCTTTATTATTTGAATTACTGCATCTTAAACAACATCCAGTCACACAGCTAGCAAGAAATGTTTTTTTCATCATATGTTCTGCACACTGCTGAATCCTAATGCAACTGGAACACGGTATTGAGAAAACACACCAGGTTAAGTAACTTCAGATGAAACAGCATTTAAACAGAAACCTGTTTTCCAAAGTGTACACAAGAGCTCAAAGTCAATGGCCTTCTTACTATAATAAAGATTATCCTCCGTTCTTTAGCATATTTTGGTTTTCTTGCCATCATCTTCACATACTAAATTTTATACATCACATATTTTTCTTATATTAAAACATTTGTGAATTTAAAAAAAAAAAGAGTGGAAGTTAACAGTATTCTACATGCCAGTAGTTGCTAGTGCTAAACTGCAATGCTTTAAACTCCATCTCAACTCCACAGCTAGGACGCAAAAACCCCAGTAATGGAGAGAAATCTCTCTAATTTATCAATTTTTGTTTGAACTTGCTATGAACCAAGAAGAAAACCAAACCAATACATATCAAATTTCAAAAATTAGACAGCCAAAAATGAATTATTTCTTCCATAATTAGGGATCACCTGAGCTACGTATTTCCTGAGCTCACTTTGTTTTTTGCTGTTATTTTTAGTGGTCTATCAAGATCTAGACGGAGGGAGTCATGATTCTCATTTATATGTAGTGAAGCTAAACATTACAACAGTTTTGTAGTTAAAACTCATGGATACTCAAAAAAATATTTATTCTGTATTCCAGACATCTGTTTGCCAGGAATAGGCTTGTTTGTGTAGCTAAACAGTCGTATTTATATCAACAGAACTCAAGACTAATGATGTTCTCCCCTAGGTGGGACATCTCAACAACCAAATTGACTAGCAAGAAGGATGCCATGTCAGAATAAACTCCATTAGATGAAATCAGTTATCTTGGCTTCTGTCAGGGTGTAATAATTAGAGCAGGAGACTGCAGAAAGCCCCAAGAGTGAATGTATGCTCAACGTGCTGAGCACACCAAATTTGCAGCTTTCAAAGAGAGGTTGAGAAGGTTGAACTAGACAGCAATCATTTCACAGAGGAAAGTACTTGTCTAAGGATAAAAATCTCAACTCTGGAGACCACAGAGAACCATCCTGGAAGTTAATCTAACATGACCCCATGCATGCTGGAAATGCAAAGAAGCAAAACTGAAGTCACTCCTTTATTTGGTTTAAGTCTTCAAATAAAATATTTAATAAGCCTTTATTTCTTGCATTTCTGTCTAGCAAACTTATTTAGCATGTAGGTGACCTTCTGTCTAGCATCAAGAACCATAACACACAGGCTGTCACTCCTCCTGGACTGACAACCAGCCCATTCCCAATATTCTACTCCAGTCAAGCAGAGCCCAGCACTGCAGCGCAACAACATCAAACCTGCTCCTGTGCCCTTCCCTCCTATCCCCCAAAATAATAATCGTCCAGAAGTCTGCAAAAGACTGCCTTATTTGTAGGGACACAGCAAGCATTTAAAGAATTTGGGACATTTAAAAAATCATTAATTTCTCAGTTATAGTTACACCAATAGTCCACACATTTCTCTTTTAGATAAAGAGGGGAAAAAAAAAGAAAGGAAAAACGTATCGGGGGAAAACAGTATATAAAGCATGTAAGGTAAAGAACACTTACATATAGCGTGGGAAAACAGGTAAGCCTTTGCCTCTACAGCCTATAATATATTTTGCCCACAGTACAAAAATACATATTGCTTTAATTCATCTTTCCTTCTCCCTTAAATCAGACAATAAAACTACTCATCTGTTTTCAGTGAGAGGAAGATTATGAACTTGTCTCTGAGGAAAATAAACTGGAAATAGAAAGATACATAGCAACTAATTAATTCTCTTGCTCAATACACAGTGATAGACTATAAAGTTAAATGATGTTGTAAAGCAGGAGGAGAGAGAAAGAGAGAGGAAAAGCTGCTCTATAAGCATCACTGGAAAATCATTTTAAAAATCAGCTGCTTGTCTACCAACTAATCTAAATTGCCCAAGGAAATGCCTCTTTAGGTTATCACCATGTGAGCCTGCATTATCCATTTAGCATTAGCATATGTCTATAATGACTGCTTGTCCTTAAAATTAATGAAAAAGAGAAATTTGCTTTCTAGCTGGTGGAGGGTCCTCTCCAGACAACATTAAATTAAAGCGTTCTCAGACTGGCCTATTGAAAAATATTCTAATGGTGAGAAAACAAAACCAAACCCCACACAGATCTCAGTTGAAGCTAGTGAATTATTTTTCACCATTTCAGTCAGTCTCACAAAGGGGAAGACTGAAGACAACCCTATACATTCCATTTAGACATTAAATGATATTCAAGAGCTTATAATTAACACAGAAAGTGATATAGATATGCCTATTTGCAACTGCGATGTTATGTTATCCATAAGCAATATTGCACACATTGCTTGAACACCAGCATATCTGTCCAAGATGGAATAGGAATAATCTTTAACACTCACCAGGGTACCAAACAAAATACCCTGCAAGTACCCGTCACCCTTTACATCTTGGTATCAATTTTGTTAACCTTACTCACGTATGGGTCTATTAACAGGTAACACAAACAAGCTTCAAAGCACAACCAGTGATAAGAGGCGGCATTCGGTTTTTCTAAAGCAGTATGGAAAGATGTAACTATCTTCCTTTCATGTGTGTTTGGGTTTTTTATGCCAAATTTTCATCTCATCTCTCAGGCTAAAAAAAAGTCTAAGGAGCAATCTGAAATTGTACTGGGTGTCTGTGGCAAGGGTGGGGCTGCAGGGGTGGCCGCTGTGAGAAAATGCCGGGGGCTGCCCCGTGCCGGGCATGGCCGGTACCACAACAGACCCACTGCAGGGCAGTTTGAGGTGCCTCTGTGAAAACATATTTAAGAAAGGGCAAAACAAAGCACCGCAGTGAGGACAAAAGTGTGAGAAGCAGCCCTGCAGACAACAAGGTCAAAGAAGAAGGAGGGGGAGGAGGTGCTCCCAGTGCCAGAACAGAGATTCCCCTACAGCCCCTGGAGGAGACCGAGGTGGAGCAGATGAAAAGGTGCAAGAAGACAGGAGCAGAAAGAAATCGCTGTGTACTGACCATAATTCCCTTCCCCCCTCCCCTGGCCTGACACCACTCATTGCGTCATCAAAGGGACTGAGCGTAACTTGTGGTGGTACCAAGAAAGGGGAGCAGGGGCGTTGGGAGTGAAGGAGTGAAGTTGAGCATGGGGAAGGCGGCACAAAAGGTGTGGTTTTGATGCTTGTCTTTTTGTTTCCCGCTACTCAAAAACAGTAATTAAATATTTATTTAAATTGATAATAATTAGGTTAATTTTCCCCAAGTAGAGTCTGTTTTGCCCATAACAGCAACTGGTAAGCAATCTCCCTCTCTGTACCTCGGCCAACAAGCTTTATTCTTCCTGTTTCCCCTACTATCTCTCTAAGGGTCATGAGTGAGGGTACGCAAGCAGGCAAGCAGCTGGGTGGGAGTTTGGCTGCTAGCCAAGGCTAAGCCACCACAGAAAAAGTTACTTTCTCTTAAAAAAATTTAGTTAGGCCAGTCTTAATTACAGAGACAATTTTCTGAGAAATTTGCATCTTGCTCTCAAAACTGAGTTCATTTTTTTAGTTGCAACTGTAACTTTTGGAAAGGTTGAACCAACTCTCATGATATTTTTAAATAACATCTAAAATAACTTGAGATACTGCTCTTTCATGACTATTCATAAAAGATATCTGAATGAACATTACATTTGGAATTAAGTGCAGCATGCAAAAAAGGGGCATTACATTTACTTTTCACTGCTTCTGCAATATGCAGCCAAAATATTTCACTATGTTAGGGTGTTAATATTTTACTGTATTAGGGTGATCTCCATTAAGCGATACAAGCAACATTTTCATTCTGGAACCTCAAACTAGTTATGATATCTTACATGTGGTTTCTAAAGCAAAGCCTGTTTACGGATACAGATTTCTGAAACTTTGAAATAATCAACCCAAGACTATAGAAATAAAAGAAATTTAATCCATTAAAAGGAGACCAAGGTGAAGACACACTGGCTGCATTTTAACCAATTCACAGTTCCTCTACTTCCTCAGTGAGAACTGAAGAAATTCCACAAGGAACTGACCTGCTAATACTTTTATCACAAATCAGCTGAAAAGTTACACTGGCTCTGTAGTTTTCTTTAAGAAACAGTAACCAAACTACTTTTCTCCTGTATTTTTCTGAAGTATGAAGCACTAGTTAAATTACTTTCAGAGAAACAAAGAGAAACAGTCACAGTAATTTAAAAGGAAAAGAAAAAAAAAAAAAAAAAAGAGGCATTCAATTTTTTAATGCTTTACATTATGACAGAATTTCAGTATTCCCGTGTTTTACTGTTTTGTACTGCAGTGCTGACATTGAACTTGAAAGAAATAAAACTAGAGCTGGGTTTTTTTAATTCTTACCAAATGCCAAACAAATAAACAAAAATCATTGAAATTATCTCGGACCGTTCATTCCTTACCTTCTGTTTCTCTCCTCATTCTCATTCTGTCAAGTTTCTTCTGCTGCTCCCTCAACAGTGCCTGCTGTTGAATCTCTAGAGTCTGGTCATCTTTTGGAGGATCAGGATACATGTGCCTCAAGCCCATACGTGTTTCAGAATCTAGAGCAGAGATATGAAATTTAAATTTTTCCCTAAACCAATGTTTCTAAAAAACATTTTTAAAGAACTAGCTACAGACACAAAGTCATAAAAAACATTAAAAATAATGGTGACAATGGCCAAGAGGATAAGCCACTTTAGCAATGATTTTACAATTTTACTGTATTAAAAAATATATTTTCTGGTAAAGGAGAAACAAAGATACACAGAAGCATAATTTGCTGGTGGGTAAAAAAAAGAAATCAAATTCAGCCTACTTTCTGTAACATAATATCAAATGTATAAGAAGTTTAAAAAGTTTAAACAGCAAGGACTAGAAGCTAGGTGAATGCTCTGAGTGATAACTCAGCATTACAATGCCGTGAATTGTGTGCACTTGTAGAAACGGCCACACAGAGAGATATACACACATACAAAATGCTGTCCACAGAGTATGTTGTGTATGGACAGTAGCTGTAAAGAGCCTGATTTTTATTTTTGCCTTTAAATCCTGGGTGGCGTGGAAGACGGAGGAAAAGAACAGATGTTTCACTACCTTTCCTCATCAATAACAAGAAGATCTACCTGCCTTTGTATTTAAGTTCATTAAATTCCCAGATATTCTGTATATTGATGGGATCTTGTGCCTCCTTTGATGAAGGTCGCCTTACTGGAGCCTGCAGACGAAGCCTGGCCATCTCAAATATGTCCTTTGGATTCTTCTCTCTCCTCCCACTTGAGAAGTTTGTAAAACAAGCAGAATATAATTTAACACTGTAATATTAATGAGTGGGATGAAAATATAATATTGATAAAGCTCACATGTTTTATCCTTAAATAAAGCTATCAAAACAGGAAAATAAATTTGAAAGTAATGGCACTGCATATTGTGTTATAAAAAGGGATAACCTACTTAAAATAAAAAAAACCCTCATACTTTATAGAGTGGAACTGATGATCTGATGAGTCTTTTCCAACTTACTGGTATAATTAACTAACATATTTTGGAAGCAACCACATTTTTTTAAATAAAAAGGGTATGATTTTCAGTAAGAAGGAAAGTACTTCCACAGCAGGATGCCATTCATAAGCGTATTCATCAGCAGTAGTACTGCAGTTTATAGGCACAAATTATGCCCTAGGAAAAAAGGTAATGAGAGAAAATTCTGCCTTAGACAGCTGTTTTGGACCACTCTCCAAGACAGAGTATTGCAACTTCCGATCTTACCAGTACAGCCATTCTTACACTAAACTTTAATAAGATTCTTGGAAAAAATCCATTCACATGAGAAATAATAAAGAAAATTTTATATACATGTTCTATCTTTATATTTTCATTTCATATTAGCCAATTAATACTACCTACTCATACACAGTAGCTTTGAATTCCTGACCAAAATCTAACTTTTAAAACTGAAGATGAAATTCTTACCGTGTAATCGGTGCATCATCATCACTGGCCACATTTAGCAACTGTTCCTGCAGTCGCTTCTCTTCACTACGAAGCTGTTTCCTCATCTCTGATAATTCATTTATCACATTCTTTCTTTCCTCTGGAATTTAACACAAATAGTTTAAAAATAAAGAGTGTCAGAGACACTTTTCTGCCTACCTCATAAATGTAAGGTGAAAAATAAAAAAAAGGAGATAATGAACTGTTAATTAAAACAAGGATTATACAAACACAAGAATCGCAGTATTTCATACACTAGAAATTAGGTCAGAGCTTGTATTTTGAGACAGCACAAGGACCAGATCCCCTGAACAGCAGAAAGCATCCAAACTTCAGTGGAAGTGTTTCACTGTGTTTAAAATGGAAAAGCTATGAAATACCAGCAAGTGGGTGCTGCCAGTAAATAGCCTTATTTTGAAATTAGCGAATCTACACAGTCCTCAGAGTCCCAGAGGCAGGTGACAGGAACTGAGGTGGTATCAGCAAACACACAACCTCATTTCTGTTTCCTGACTCAGAAGTGGGATATCTGCTCAGTGCAGACTCTTAAGTGTTCAAGATTTCTAACTTCAACACTTATTTTCAGTATGTGCTTATGTTGACTTTTTAGACCTACTTTGGGTCTAAGCTGTTTTTTGTGGACAGCATTCCTCCACAAGTTAAAACAGTTTCATAAACTCCTTATTTTCCAAATAACATGCTTAATAATTTGGTATTTTACTGATTTTTAGTCTGAGTCCAGAACCTAGCAGGCAAGCAAGTTTTACTAGCTTAAATCCTCAAACACAAGATTTAATTCATATGTCTTGATTTCTCTCATGACAGATGGTCTGAGTCAGTCGATTTGCAAGAGCTGCATTAAGAACCACTCTGCCTTCCATTTAGTGGAAGAGCCACAACTCCCCAGAATGGACCCAGGTACTGACTGCAGGGGGTTAGCATTTGTAGGACATCATTTACTATTACACATTCCACTTGTCATAGAATCATAGAATCATTAAGGTTGGAAAAGACCTCTAAGATCATCAAGTCCAACTGTTAACCCAACACCACCATGCCCACTAAACCATGTCCCTAAGCACCTCATCTACACGTCTTTTAAATATTTCCAGGGATGGTGACTCAACCACTTCCCTGGGCAGCCTGTTCCAAGGCCTGACCACTCTTTCAGTAAAGAAGTTTTTCCTAATGTCTAATCTAAACTTCCCTTGGCGCAACTTGAGGCCATTTCCTCTCGTCCTATCGCTTGTTACTTGGGAGAAGAGACCAACCCCCACCGCGCTACAACCTCCTTTCAGGTAGTTGTAGAGTGCAACGAGGTCTCCCCTCAGCCTCCTCTTCTCCAGGCTAAACAGTCCCAGTTCCCTCAGCCGCTCCTCATAATTGTCGTTTCTTTTATACTTATAAAAAAGAATCAGAAGAAAAATTACTGCTTTCCACCCACATATTGCCAAGATAACTAACATATAAAGAGCAAAGAGCAGCCTTCCAGCATGTCTGAATTTTAAAACCACCAGTGAAAGCTAAAAGGAATGAGCAGAGGATTAGACAAACAAAGGAAAGTAGAATTTAAGAGTTAGGACTGCAATGCTCTACACATTTTCGGCCAATCCATTATTTGGCCAATCCAAAACTCTCTCATTTTGTAATGTCCTGGTCACAGTGGTCACCACTGTCCTGATTGAAAGATCCAGCACTTCCCATGCAGACTATTCCATTATCAGAGTTTTTATAAAAAAATATTTCCTGATGAAGACACGTAATAAATGCATTTTTATTTTGTATTAATACTTCAGACACACCATATTAATACACTGATAATACTAAGACAGAGGACACCCAGATAGAAATGCAAACTTTGTAAGACTATTCCTTTGCAGGCAAGAAAGAGAACTGTAACTGAGAACAATTTCGTTGTAATAGAAAGTGAGCTTGCAATAAAGAAAACACCTACCAAATGCACGCAACTGATTTCTTCTAGCAGGGACAGGTGGAGAAGGAACCCTTGGTTTTGGAGGATCCTAGTGATCATAATGAATATGAAATGTTAATATGTCAAAGGAAGAAAATATAGCAGACATAAGTAATTTTATTTCCTTACATTTTTATCTCCTTACATTTTATTTCCTTATTTTATGTCCTATTTACATTAACTACCACTACTACTGGAAGACAGTAGTAACCTTACAGGTTTTTAATGCCTGAAGTTTTTTTAAATCTGATCTTTAAATGTATAATCCAAATTACTATGATAATACCTATAATGCATTATTCAGAGATCTAGACAAAGCTATACCAAGTACTGCAAAGACACAGAAATAAACTGACCTTCGTCCAGAGCATTCTTAACATTTAGGGAAAGCAACAGTTTTAAATAAGGTTTAAAGTCTTACTTAAAACATTTTCTGAAACTGCACTATAAAGTATTTTGCCAAATTATCATTTTCATGGCAAATTCATTTTTTAAATTTTTAACCCAGTTCATACAGACAGTTGGTAAAAAAAACATTTCCAATAAACAGTCAGAAGTGTAGCCTGAGATTCAAATATCATAGATGATTATTTAATCTACTCTTTACAGGAGAAATTTATTTATAAAAAAATAAAAAATGTCCCAGGGAAGATTAAATCAAGTGAAAGAAATGAGTGGTCTCGGGACCACTACTGTAACTCATTCGTGATGCAAAGAGGAAAGTGAAGTGTATTAGGAGTTACAATCTTTTCGTACCTTCAAAAACATAAAGATAAAACAATAATGTCTGTAACTAGGGATCAACATTAAACTTCATGCCTGAGCTAAGTTCTTCTCTGAGTGAACACGATGAGTTGCTAGATTAGATGTAAACTTTCTTATCCTAAACCCTGAGATCGTTAAACCTTTGGTAAGGGTCTGGACAGAGTACGTAGACTCAAAAATGAGGTGCTCATCTCTACAGAAAATGCGCATGCAGAAAAAAAAATTAAAATAACACACCCCCAAAAATTTATTGAATACTTTGAATAAAATTGAACATTAAATTTCAGAGCTACAAGACTGGCTAATATAAAGACTGTCTCCAGTTATTTGTGGTATTCCGGTAATAACAGGCAAACATTAAAAACCTGGTAGGATTTAATACACTGTACTGTCTTAAATAAATCACTAAAAGTTTACTGTAAAAATCATACTTGTGCATAGTAAGATACATGGCTCTCAGCAGAGGGAATCCTTTCTTCTTTTCTTATTGATTTGTTTTGAAGGGCAGAAACGATGGGAGAAGGCTGCCTTGAAAACTGCAAGGAGGAAAGCAAGACTGAAACTACATTCCTATAGATTCTGAATAAAGTATTATTTTGGACAGGAAGAGTTTTGTTAATACTTTTCATTTGACAGAAAAATGCTTTTGCTTATCTTATTTGAATTATTTTTGTATTTAATTTGCTTTCAACTCTTAACCGCATAAAATTATTGCAAAAATTATTTAACGTGATTTTATTTTCTACCTATAGTAGTTTTAATCTTTTTTCCTATGACGTAGTTCTCTAAATTTATGGTTAAGTTACGTATCTTTTTTTCCTCTAGACACTACCACTGTATCTGTCCATTTTAGAGAAATGGTATGTAGAAATTTCTAAAAGAGAAACAGTTCTATAATTTACTTAGATTTTGCCCATCAGAATTCTGTATGATGGACTTCTTACATCATCCAGGTCAAAGGAAAATAATTAAATTACAAAAAATATCATTGTTAAAGATGAACAATCCTCAAGTCCTCTAAATTACATAACTTTATTTTTATTCGTATTTGGACCTCAACAAAAGCAGGCCACGGTACTTCACAGCTGATATATAAATCAACTATAGAGTGCAGCTTGCTCTTATTTATCTTGTTTTTACTATTTTTTTTAACGTGAATTTGATCAGCAAGATAAGTTTGCACTGTAGTATGTCTGATTTTTCAATCAGCTATTCTCTGTGTGCGCTAAGTGTACCGTAGCTTGATAAACTAAGAGGGGAACACTGAAGGTAGAGTTCTAAGAAATCATGCAATTTCTTTAAAATTCAGTTATTTTTAAAAGTTAGGAAGAAGTATTTGTATCTTAGAAAGTCACTGAAGCATACCATCTTCTTTTCCTCTTCCATCTTTTCTTTCTCAAAATATTGTCTAAATTGTTCATCTTGCTTTTCTTCTTTTTCTTTTCTTCTTTTTTCTGCCTCTTTTTGCCTCTCTTCATCTAATCGAATTATTTCTTTATTTTTCAATCTTCGCTGTAACATAAACATTATTAGTACATAAAAAAGACTCAACATTATTAAAGTTTTGCTTTGTTTTTCTTTGAGAAGTTAAAATTACACATCAAAGTGATTAGTATGAAATGAAAAGCATATTTCATTAGGCTGACTTCAAACATTCAAATTAAAATCTATGCCACGCAAATATTAAACATCTGCAGTCCTGGCTCTGCTAATATCATTTAACAGAATTCCTAATAACTTCAATAAACACCAGTTTGTGTCCCCAGATCTGCTGCCAGTCAAGGCGAAACTGTAGGAGTCATTTCCAAAAATTCAGATTCAAACAAAACATACTGCAAACATGCACCACCCTATCACAATCCCACAGAGAAAATTATCATCCAGTCTTAATTTTAGTCTTGTGTCTGTGAAAAGCGATGATACCAGTTAGCTTCCTACTCTATACTAGACCAGCTCTATTATTCAGAAGACAAGACGCATCCAACTAACTTGCTCATACTAGGGAAGAGAATATAAGCTAAGTGTTCTGTCTTAGAAATCTTGAAGTCCTACATCCTGAACTGATCTTTCATAATCCCACAGGGTGCTGAAAGATTTTTCCATTTTTTTTTCCCTACAATTACTTATGAGATTCTGAATTATGCAAATTCATTCAATTTTCCAAACCTGATAAATAAATCTTTTGGTTTTGAATTAAATCACAAGTTTACCTCCATGAAAATTATTCATTAGATTTGCTTGGCATTCTTCCAAAACAAGCAGTATTCTTATCTCAAAGATATATCCTGGCCAATTCAAAAAAAGGCTTTACAAAATCTTCCTGTATAGCTACATTCAGAATACAAATAATTCCATGAAAGCTAGATTTAAGAGGCTAACAAAAAAAGAAAAAAAGCTGTTTGGTTTTTTTTAATTCACCAATTTGACAAAAGCTTTTTATTGGCCTCACAATTTCCTTTAGAAAGGAGAGCACCACTGTCAATTCTAAAACTATACAATTTTAGAAGAATTAACAGTACTTCAAGTTGGTAATATACCATAAAGAGTGAGAAGAATGTGCTAGTTAATACTGACAATTTTCTACCTCTCCTCTGGCTAATGTAGACCCATTTAAAAACAAAGACCAATTCACAGGACACTTCTCAGTTTACTTTCTTAATCTAGAGGATAAATATTACAAAGGGTTAGTTTAGGATGGAAAAAAGACAAGGTATCAAAATACTACACCTCCTCCTCTTTCTTTCTTTTCTCTTGTTGTTCATCTTCATACGCTTTTTGAATTCTCATCCTCTGTTCAGCTAGTCGTTTTTCTTCTTTTTCTTCTTCCATTCTAAGTTTTTCTCGCTCTGCTTCTTCCCTACGTCTCTTTTCTTCAATCTAGAAAATAAAGCAAAGAAGTATTCAACTGTCAATAGCCAGCAATAATCTGATGAACAACATTTACCATCATGATCTTCTATGACTTCTGAAGTACCTACTTGCACAATCAAAGACTGTATGAAGCAACTGAAAGAATTCTAGGGCTAGTCTTACATTTCAGCTTCAGAATTCCTTTAAAATCAGATTATATTTTACTATTTCTTTTTGGCCACTATTTATGGAACCACCCTCCAGTAAGAACACTAATTATAAATGCTACTAATAAAACCTGAATATTTCCTAACATTTACTCTACTCCGGATGTGCTGGAATAACACTTTCCTTCACTGATTAAATAATGAAAGATGGGAAACCAAAACAAAAAAGACATAGCAATTATCTTTTTCCTTTCCACAATTATAATATTTTTAGACACAGCGCTGACTTACTGAAGCCAAAGGTCTGCCCATTCTTTATTCTTTTTGGCAGCACTATACATGGAAAAAAACCTAAGAGATCCACATCAAACTACTGTATGATATTCGTACTCTTTTAAATTATCTAGGATTTCCTTGATATTGATATTTAATTAAATTGATATTTAGTTCTTGTGGCATAAGATTCGAAGTATTACGGACAGAAGACAAAAGCTGGTAGAAGAACAATCACATTTTATATACCCATCAATAAATAACTCTACTGTCATTGTTTCACTTATCACCATTTCATTCTGACGAACATCCATTTGTATCATAGACACTTCCAAGGGCAAACATCTTTGTTTCTTTACATATTTATGTACGCAAACTTGTACTGTATGCACAGTTTGAGAACTCAATACTGTATTTAGAGAGCTGTACTCAGGAAAAAAAAGACAGAATCTAGATTAATGAAGCCAGCTATTAATAGCATCACTTTTATAAGCATTTCTTACGTAAGGCAAAATCTGAGAGTCAATAGCATATAGCTCTTAGTAGACCTCTTGTGTACAGAATTGGCTATGATTGGATAAGGTCTTTGGTCAACAGTGATGACTTACTTTGACTGTAATCCCTCTTTTTAAAATTTATTTAACGAGGTGATAACTCGTGTGCGCATTCACCTGTAGACGGAGAAAGTTCTTGTATGACTCCTGTCGCTTAAGATGCTGTGGAGATGGTGGTTCACCGAACACATTACCTCGAGCAAAAGGAGAGGTCTGTGCAAATGTAAAACCTAAAAGGGGAGAAGTTACAGGTAAAAATCAAAGCAAATTTAAGACAGCAAGCCAGAGTGAAGAAGCGGGAATCTGAGACACTTGTTTCAAAAGGTAGTTTATGACAGCCGTAATTCGAGGCTATAGCTGAAAACAATAGCTGGGATTAAAAGTTCTTATGTTGTCTGCCTAGAATACTGTCAGGTTTTAACTGCTCAATTAATAATGTCCAAGCAAGTTGTCTTTTTACAAAATAACACCTATAAAAGTTCATATATTCTACTGTCCAATCTGCAGTTTAGTATCTAAAAATGTTACCTGTAAGTTAATTAGAATAGCAAAGATTTTACATCTCAACTTTACTGCTTACAATTACTCTGATTTAGCACATGTAGTTCTGTTCTTTAGGTTTATTCACTCTTCAAAAACAGAACATCCTAACAGAACAAATATCTAGGTAAAATAGCAACGGATGCTACAAAAAACAAAGCCCAAAACTGGCAAATAAAATTCTAAGCAGTCAGAAAATTGAATTCTGCCAGTATGAGGTGCCTTCCATACAATGAAGTTTGAACTGTCAGGTGTCCTTTAGCCCTGTGTTACGAATGTGTCATAACCATACAGTCCCAAAAGCTCTAGATAGGAGGGTTAACTCAGACACCACACAGAACAGGATCCCTACAGGAAGCAGAGGAGAAAGGAAGTAAGGAAAGGAAAAGTAGAGTAAGTTGTGTTAACTTTTCAGCTGACACAGCATGTGTCATATCATTCATATCATATCTGCTCCAAAGGACAGCGCCTCAAGGACGTGCAAGAGCCATAGCTCCACTGAGCTGAGATGAACACAGCTGTAGCTGTTCTCATGTTCCCTACTTACATTTCCCTACCTGGTGATGTACCACCCAAGTCAGATGAAAGCAGAAGTAACAGATACACATATTCCCATAGGAATGCACATGCTTACTGCTACAGCCTAGCCTTAGGAGCATGTGCTTGCATACCAAGGAGTACACCAAAACCATCAAAACCTACACAAAGCCACTTCACTGCCTGACTAATCAAACGGAAGGTGCAAGACTATAAAGTTCCCATCACTGATTGCACCACCTCCTGATCCAAAAGTAAGTGATCTAAACAGGGGGCTCTTTGCTATTCTGCATTATTACTTTATTGGCCTTGCCTGTTTCACTTCTTACTAAGTGGCTAAATATATATCGTATTAGGGAGAAAGAGCAAGGGGTGGGACAGAAAGAACAAAAAAAATTGATTCTACAGCCAGTGGAAAGGACTCTGAATTGCAATCGTGCGAAGTAGATCCATGCCGCAAATACCATGTAATTCTTTATATAGAAGTGCAACAGTTCAGACAAGAGAAAGAAAAGCAGCATCTAAGATGACTTGAGGAGACCACCACCCATCCTGGCCTTTGCCCATCCCAGGCTAGGGACAGGTCTGGAGCATCACAGCTCTCTCATTTAGATGTCTCACAAAACGCAAGAAGAGAAAGATGCGTTAGTTTTTAAATAGGAAAATAAAATAAAATCCGTAAAACTTGGAAGCAGTGCACAGGGCTGCATATGTATCCAATTTACCTGTAACTTTTTAGAACTTGTTAACCTAGTAACTGTACCAATTTCATCTTAACCTGTAACATCATACATCTGCAGACCCTCCTCCTCCTTTTATTTCCATCTTCTCTCCTACTATACAGTTGTATTTTACTATGTCATTTAAAAGTAAAAGAAATATGTATGAAGATTTGATTAGATAATGTTGAACCTGGAAAACTAATATACTGATCCTGACTGTTCAGTGCTAAAACACTTATTAGTTATCATTACTGACAAGACAGATGAGAAAATACATTTTCAGTGCACACAGTGACAGCAATGAAGTAGTTTGGGAAAGAAGCATGATACTGACTTCGCAGATAGAGAGCACTAACACTATCATAGCACTACTAGAAAGGAGTAAAGAAACTAGAGAATTCTGATCACTAAGACCTATACATAATTAGAGCTGTAACACAGTATTCTTAAAAACCTGCTATTTTATTTGTAGATGCTTCTGTGTTCTCAGGTCTTGGGGAGGCCAAACTTAGGTCAACAGATACAATAGCCCTTTTATCTTCATATAGTCTTGCCTCTGGATTATGATATGCATCTTCGTTTTGCTTGTGCATCATATTCAAGTCCGCTAAAGGAAAGGGGAAATAACTGTTTATAACATTTTATTCTCATAAAAGGCATGTTCACCATAGATTCTCAAAAATACAGGGATTTTTGAGCAGTCTCCACTTTTCCTGGGCATACCAACCATGGGAACAAAAAATTTAAGCAAAGACAAGAATATAGAAGCTATAGGTGAAATACTAGGAATTCACTGATTAAAAGATTTATTTTGTTGGTTTTCTTTTCCTAGGAATGATTCTTCACAGCAAACCTCCCCTCTCCCCTGCCCAAAAATGCTATGAAATGGGAAGACAAAGAACTCAAAGACAAAAATGACTGACAAGACTGTTGACAAGCATGTATTTAGAAACCACCCCTTCTTCTATTTCCTTAAAGCTGTAAAATACTTTCGAGTTTAGTATTGGTATTTTAAGTACTGAATCTCTATTTGATTACTATTAGGGGCGATATGCACAATTGAACCATTAAAGTGTATTTTGGTCTTCATGTCTTTAGTAATAATCCAGGTGCAGATTTCTGTATGTAAGCAAAGCAATGTCATCCAACATTTTCACCAAAATTTACATGATGCCTCTCAGTTACCATAAAAATCCTGATCAAAAGATGTTAATTTCAGCTCATTTTGAAGTGTTACCATACTATACCTTGAAGGCTCATTTCAAAACAAAAAAATACTACACAGTTTTCAGATTACCTTTTTAAACAGTGTTTCTGATAATTATGAATTACTGTAGTCATTTAAGCACAGAGATTTCAAGAACTTTAAATTACATCCCTCTCTGTAAAGCAGCCTTTGCATACATGAGCATCTCAAAAGCTATTTACAGACATTTTCAAGAGGATAAAAAGACAAGTCACACTGCATAAAAAAGAGACATGGCAGAAAGCATGTTATGTTTCATGACATTTGTGCTTATCCATCGTGCTGCTAAACTATGGTGGGAAAAATAACTTTAGATGTGTAATTCAGGAAAACAGGCTAAGAAACTTCTTTCTCTTGGTTCCTCATTTACAGATGGAGATAAGCTTCTCAGCAGGTGTACGCAGAGCTCAGGTTAACATGAAAAACCTATATTGTCCTCTGACCCACTCTACTTACACCATTGTAAAGCCTAGAGAAAGAAGCCAGACACTTAAATGCAGTGCCTGAAGTTAGGCAGTGTGAACACCTCTATCTGCTCTGGGGATAAACACAAGCTTGCATCCTCAACACAAGCTTCTAAACTTATTATTTGGGCACACAATCTTTAAAAAGCATTTAAACTTTACCCCTTACCCTCAAACCACATTATGAATTTAGCCATATGTCGCTCAGGTGTCATAAAATGGAAACTAATTATTTATATATAAACTGTTATCCAGTAAGTGTTCCATGCTTTGAAAATTCTCATATTTTATTAGGAGACATATTTTAAAAATCTAATCAGAATTCAACATCATATTCCAGTAACAAGAAAATCAGTTTGTTTCACATTAGAAATCAATAGTTATAAAATTTAAGACTCACTCAGATGCTAAAGGCAAGAATGAAGAGAGTTAACATAGGCCAAGATTTTGAAATATACAAATCTAATTGTGCCTACTGAGTACTATTTTTATTTTAGATAAACTATTCCTGTAGGGTTCACTAGGAACTAGGATCAGGAATTTGAGTTTTAATCTTACATCTATCTCCGATTTACAGGAGGGGTGGATGAACAACTTGCCTGGATCATAGCTATCTCCCAGTTCACTACTCCCGTCTTGTATAAAACGGGACTTGGAAAAAAATTAAACTAAAAAACATTACTGCTGACTGCTATTTATATAGCCATTTACCAGCTGTGTTACTTGGGGAAATTTAAATATTCCACTTTGCTTTATATATTTATTCAAACGTGCTTCCATTTTCCATGTCACAAGTACAGCTTTCTAAGCCTAGAAGTTATTTTAAAGAAGAAAAACAATTAAAAAAAACTGTTCCTGGAAAACATTTAAATAAAAGTCTTCACAAAAGACTTTAGCACATTTGTATTGCAGATGATTCTAACAGCTTGTTTTCCTCCTTCTCTCTTTACTATTGCATTGTGTCTTCACTTATAGTTGACATATCCTGTGTTTCCCATTTTGTTCAAATTGTACTCTTTGAATGATCCCACAGAAATCAAAATAATTACTCACTTAAATATTCCTAAAGTGTATCTGCTTGAAACAAGTACGTCTATTTGTCAATAAAGGGCTACCACTGTTACAAAACAAGGAATAACATATCTGAATAGAGCCCTTATGAAAGCAAGAAAACAATCTTGAAAAAGCAATGCATAATTTTGGCAAACATACTTATCAGATTTCCTTTTGCATCTCTGAGAGGAGCACCACCACCACCTTTTCCCCAGGGGTTGTAGTTCCTCATTTCTGCTTCTAGCTTGGCTTCGTAGCGTTCCTTCTCCTCTCTCTCTTGTCTGCGTCGTTCCTCTCTCTCTCTTATCTAAAAACAAACAAACCAAAGTCAGTTGCATAAAAATATCACATTAAGTATAATTTTAATAAAAAGTTAACGAAGCAAGCTGAATGCTATCATTATGCATTCCCCCATCCATATCAAGCAAATCGCAAACATTTCACTGCCTATACTGCAGAGACAGTGCATTGAATACTGTTGTCAAAACATGCACATCCAGTTGTGCATAATCACAGAGAAACATACAGATACACATTACAAGACTTCCAAGTTCCAGAAATGTTCATATCTGACACTTGCAGTAGATCAAAAGTCCCATATCTTTGGATCTTTGATACAGAAGTTTATACTGCCTGAAAATTAAACAGACAAAATTCTACAATACTACAGCGCTTGCTTCTCTCAACCAAAACTTAGACTAGAAATGACATGAGATAAAGAAAGACTTCTAACAATAAATGCCTTAATAGAATACTATACGATTTTATAACCATTCATGAAATAATTTTCTGCAGTAATACATAATGATGCATGCAAATAACGCAGCACTGTTCATATGGCTTGTTATTCCTTTTCTTCAAAATCAGGTTAAATGTATGTAACTAAGTCTCCTAATAACTTAATGTAGCATTTATAAAGAGAACAGCTGTTTTAAAAAGTCCGTCTTCTATTCAAAGCTTTTAAAACATTAGCTACTATTTATGTAGCTGAAATATATTAATGTATTTTTCTTAAGTTTGTTTCTTCTGTGCATTAGATAAACATTTCCCTTTATCAAGTTGTCAGACAATTTCGTATGAGATATAATGAGTCAACACAAAGACCCATCTAGCCCCTTCGACTATTTACAAAAATGGTCAGTCAGATTTGTCTATAGGAAAAAAAAGCAGAATACCTTCTGTTCGCTTTCAACCATAAGCAACATAACTTTGAAAGACTGTATCATGCCACATTTATTAGACCTTTATGTCAAATTGTGCAGTCTCTCATATGGCAGGATAAAATTTACTTCTTAAGACTATAGTGAGAAAATGCCTTCAGAGAAGTGTAAGTACAATATCAGACACTATTCCTAAATGTTTATTTTATTCTTAATTTGACCTTAATTGGCAGCCTCTCCTTTATCCCTATGCATGATCGTAATTAGAACTAGAATATTTTTATAGCAATTATTTATGTCCACTGAAGAAATACATAAAGAAGAATAAGATAAGAAAACGTTAGTGCCACTGAACTGGGTTCTAGCAAAATCTCTTCCGAAATAACATGTCTTATCATGGTCAAATACATTTTATAAATATAAACTCCCACAAGGTGCAGCAGCGAAATGCCACTAAAATGAGTAGGGGACTAGGACATCTACTGGAAGACAGGAGACTTAAGAAATTTGTCTAGTCTATCAAAAAGGAAGCTGAATAGAGATAAGACACCACCTACAAACACACTGGAAGTAAACATTAGGGAAGCTTTTGAATTAGGATCCAAATGATCATGAAGAACTTATTGAAATTAGTGGGTTCCTAATAATTATAGCAATAATGCTCAAAAGCAATCTTTCAACAGGAATATCAGTGCAACACAACTCATTGCTTTTAAGATGCAGGTTCTTATGTTTATGAAAATAATTATATAAAACTCCATGCCTGGAACTAATCTGTTTGCTGTCAGTTTTAACATTCTCTCTACCTCTGACAAAAAGATTGAAGAGCTTACTGTCCACCTGAAGAGCTAAAATGAGCTAAAGCAGGGTCAGAGGAACAGGAGGAAGGAAGTGACGAAGGGAGGGAGAGTTAAGAAAGCTTTTTACTTGCAAATTAAATAAATATGTTTGAAAGAGTACTACAGTTACAACCAATATATGTTAAAAAGTCAAAGAAGAAAGCATCAGAAGCTTTATCACTCAGTACCTGCTGTTGTAATTCTTGTTGATAAGATAATGTTGCCTCTTTGGAAGGCTTTGTTTTTTCTTCAGAAAATACTCCTATGCTTCTTTGTCTGTCTCCTGTATTCCTCTGTCCAGTGTTACTTCTGAATTAGAAAAGCACATATATAAAAGGAAAACATCATAGGGTCGGGGGGGGGGGAAAAAAAAAAAAAAAAAAAAATCCCTGCCTGAAATCTTTAAGGAGCTATTGTTTTCCACAGTTTATAATCTCAAACATTTTCATAAATGCACATAAAAATTAGGAGTTCACTGAATTATTGTTTAGATAGAAATTCTTAATTAGAAGTTTGAAGAGTTGTCTTTAACACACTTTGTTTCACAGGCATATCCATTGTCAGCAAAATACTCCCAACATGAAAAGCTTATCAATACAGATAAATACAAGCAAGAATACAAGAATATGAATACAGATAACACTTACACAGATTGCTCTACTGGGGCTTGGCCTAAAGGAGGATCCGGATTAGGTGTGGCTTGCATTCCCATCATACCTGTACCATCTACATAGTAAAAAAATTACTATTTTAAATTTTGAATGCTCAGATATAAACATCTGCCATTACTTAAAAGAACAGAGCTCACTGCTCAAACTCTGTGACTGCAGAATTACAAACAGGACTCTCAACTTCTATAAGAAACTTAGCTAATCCTTAATGACTTCTGAAGCAAGAAATACAATGCCAAGGTACAAATCTATTTCTCAAATTCAACTAAATCCCTTTAAAATTTACAAATGTCTGCACTAACATATTCTACAATGAACTAACAAAAATCACTGTTACTAGTTCTACATTATTCATCATTTAAGTAGATTAAAAGCAGTCATCTGAATCACTCTAACAACCAATCCACCTAAAATCACCAACTTACAATATGCAAGATTGGGATCCAAAGGATTCCTAACCCCGTAAAAGTAATACGCATCATCATAAGGCGTTCTATAGTTGTCTGTCAAAACTGGTGGTGGAGGTGGTGGCATCGGTGCAAGCCTTAAAGAAAAAAGGAACACAATTTTTTGTTTTGTTGTACAACTGAAAAGAGAGATCATCAAAAGAAGAAAGAAAGAAAAAAAGAAAGAGAGAAAGAGAGAGAGAGAGAGAGAGAGAGAATTCACTATAGGAAAACTCTAGATTTAGCACAGCCCAAGACCTCTCATTAGTGCCATGCAGGAACAAGATACAATACACCTCAGTACGAAATTAACCTTCCCTTAGGGAGTAGTACATGAACCCACACTATTCCAGCAATCTAAAGAACATAAAACAAGCACGCCTTCTTTAACTGGTTCGGTTAATGATACTTACTGGCTACATCAGCAACAGTAAATAAAACAAGCCAAGGATTAGTCTCTGGTCAAAGGGCAAGTGGCACAGCACAGCTTTAGCCACATGCCTAAAGCTCTTCTCTCTCCCAAAACAGCTTAGTCTCAACCCCAGTGTCTAGTGGAAGCTGTCCTTGCCTATACTGCATTCTTGGGCTTAGCCCTGGGAGATTGCTTAACTGACAGGGGCCAAACTCATGCTATACCAGTCCTCTAACAATTTGGACAAGCACCCTTGTAACACGGTTCCATATTACAGCCACGGACATCATTTCTACAGCACGACTCTTATCCTACACAAACATCCACTAAGTAGTAACAACATGCTTAGCACCAAGCTTATTTAACATGCGAAATGAGCATGATGGTGAAGCACCTGGGCGCTGCTATTTCACCAAGAGTGCTGGCTAGTCCCCTGTGAAATTCTTCATTCACTGGGGAGGCTGAAGAGATGGGCACCGGAGTTTGGAAAGCCACCCTAGGCCTTTCAGGAGGTACTTTCTCTTCAGAAGCTCTCGCTGTCAAGCCAAACTGCTTCAATCTATTTGGCTGGGGGGGGGGGGGGGGGGGGAGGAGGAATAGAAAAAGAGAGAAAAAAAGCAGTTATTTTGTAATTACTAGGAAATATTCTGAACCTTCATTTAGGCTGCGTTAAACACTTCACTGGGTCCCAACTAGCTGTTCTAATTTCTAGTAATTGCATTTTTTTCTCCCAAGGAATTACTGGAAATCTAATACTACAAGGAAATCCAGCATGTTTATCATAGATTTACAAAATCCAGCCTCCATGGCAGGTTTCAGGAAGTATATGGTTCTAGTTATTATCCAGGGGGGAAAAAGTATTTACACAGTTGTCTGTAGGACAGGTTATCTACAGCCACCAGTTTCTTACACTGACAGTATTATCATATTATGCATAGGAAAAGTTTCTAAAATACAGCCCCCCAAAAAAACCCCTAAAATAGCTCATAATCAGTAAAAATAAAACCAAACACACACTGAGACTTTTTCCAATAAACATTTCCTTGCAATACTGTTATTTCATTTTTTGGGTTCCTTTGATTTTATTAGCTTTTGTAACAACAACAATTACAAAATTTTGTGGGATTTTTTTTTCAAAGTATCAAATGTTTATTGATAACTGGCAGCCTCAGAAAAACATGCAAGTAATGCAAAGGCATGCAAGTCAGTTTCAGAACTACCCTATCATACCCAGAAAACCCTTATATCAGCTGCTATGCATGAATATTTTAATGTTTGTTTAAATGAGTCAATATAATAGAAGACCAGAAAAAATTCATACATTATATAACACATTTTGTTTCTGAATTTACTGGTCCTAACATTGTAGTGCTTCAATTAGCATGCATTCAGAGATAGTAATACCAGCAACCAGCTAAATATTAAATATCTAACAGCAAACCATATACCCTATAATATGGAAGTATTTCAGCAAAATATTAAATCTTTACCTCCTCATCACTTAGCTGCAAGACAGTATATACAAGGCAGTTAGTACTCACCAATCATGAACTACAGCATTAAGATTAAAATTCTTAAAATCTACTAGACATAAATATTTGTTTATAACATTTAACTTCAAATTTCTAGATGTGAATACAAAGTTAGATAATAGATATGAGCTACAGCAATTGAAAATTATAAAGCAGTCTACAGATTTCTTTTAACTTGTCTTTTCAAATCCAGTGTCTTGAGCAGAACATTTAAAACAGCCTTTCTCACTAACAAGTTTGATGTGAACTGTTTCTAAAGTGCCCCAGATTTCAGCTCTGTAGCTAATTTCAGATGTGACTATGGTACTCAGTTCATCCCGGGGATTGTTTTCTTTTAAACAAGCAGTACATACAACAGTCTACATTTATAGATTCTTAATCAGGCATTGCTATTTAATCAACTTGTAATTAATCAAGAAATCCACCTAATTAGACTCCCTCCCCGAGAGGCAATTTAAAGCTAACAGTGACTGCTGCTTAATGAATGTAGCAATTCTACTTAATTGAAGGCTTTCAGCTAAATTAATGGTTTTAAAACATCATACACGCCCTGGACTCACTCTGGATATAATTTTGTTCCTTACAACGGGCACTTTTCAGTCTCTGACTGAGATGCGTATGTTATATAGAGTGCTTCAGCACAGCATGCTTCTGCCTAGTCAGCTTTGATTAGACAAAACTGTTTACACTGACCTTGCAGCCTGCTGTGCCTAAACAGCCGGCATCCTCTGCTCAGTTTGTCCTCTTTTCTAGCCTGGCTCCCAGCTGTACACTCCATCCCTCTCCCTTTCACCATCTGAATCCCTGATTAGCCAACTGACCTCTCTAAGCCAACTAAAGCAACAAAAGAGATTCAGATTTTTGCCAGCTAACCAAGCTGAATCAGTTCGCAAAAGGGATCAAACAAGCACCACAGAAACTTGAAGCAGAGAGGGCAGGAACATGCAGCCAGACCACTTGTCTCCCTCCCCATTTAGGAGTAAGAATTTTGATTCAGCTTTGTTGCTTACCTACGTGCATTCTCAGTCTCCTGCCTCACATGCTGACTAATAGCATCTTACAGCTATTCATTCATCTTCATTTTCTAGAAAATAAGAGCTCCTTTCACCTCTGCTGAACTCTCCAGAAATGGCACAAGTTAATTTCCGTGTTGCAGCCTCCCTCAAAAAACAGCACCGTTGATAATTTAAACTGGTAACCAGTTAAATTAATAACCAGTTTATTCTTAACTTGAGAAAGTTACCCATCCTACACCTCTAACAGCAGATCTCTGCTGCACCCAAGATGCAATGGCTTTGGGCACTTAGCAAACACACATGCAAATCATACTAGTTCTGTGACAATCAGTCTACTACCAATGTTACTAGTGCTGACAATCTACTCCTTCATACATGCTAATCAAAGTTCTTAGTACAATAATCACTTTACTAAGGCAGTGGAGACATTAGTAACTCTGCATTAAGTCTTACAAGCAACACAGTATTACTACATTTGATAGTTTAAAAAAGAATTACAAATTTGAAGTTAAAAATTGCTACAATGAGATCAACTTGGCTGCAAAACAACTGGATTTTTTTTTTAATTGAAAAAGAGAAAAAACTTTGTGCAGCATATACTTTACATTCCCAAAGAAAGGTTACTAATGTGTGCATGTACAGGCTACCAGTGGACACTAAGTATTTTTTCCATGATACCTACTGCTTGTACAAAATTTCCACTTGGTAACAGCAAAAGAAAATGTTCAATAACTTCCGTGAAAATATTTTCCTCTTAAGCTGAAAGCATGTGTAATGCGTTACAGCCTTATCGTCCTTGGCTTCAATTTTATTCTATGCTAATGCCCTATTAGAAAAAAACACAATATTTATCATTCTATAAAAGCCCTACAGAGTTTTGTGACTGAGCAACCACAGTGTATATGTAATAAAAAAAGAAGTCTATACAGGTGGAAGAAAATCCAAGTTCCTTACCTTCTTTTCTGGGTCTTGAGCTCCAGAAGCAGCAACTGAGAGCTCAAGTTCCTTCTCACTGTTTTTGTTTTAAAAAAAAAAGAAAAAAAAAGGGTCAAATCAGAAAGCAGTAACTATATTCATTCTTTCAAAGCACAGACCTCACAACTCTGTAATTAAAATAACTCTGAAAATACAGGGTAACAGAAGACATGATTCCACTTGATTTCTTCTGGAGTCAGGGAAGAAGGATACTGTGTATTATTTGTAAATAAGCAGAACTCTCAAGAAGTATCTGGCTAATTCTATTCCGCCTAATAAAAATCCAACTACCATAAAGGGACAAACAACCACATTGGTTTTTACTACAACCTTTCCAGACATTTCTTAAAAATTGATCTTTATTCACGATACAGCAAGAAGTTTATTATAAACATATTGAAATGAATGATTAAAAAGTACAGCAATAAGTACTATATTGTAATTTCAGGGCTCAGGCTTGTTCAGGAGGTACAATGTTTCACCACAGTGAAACCATCAATAGTAACTTATTTTTAATTCCTTATCCCTTCACTAATATCACTGTGTGTTTTTATGTATCCGTACTATCATTCAGCAGGCAGCTACTAACAGGTAAGCATGAAATTTATATTTTATTATTCTGCATAAACCAGATAGTCAAGTGCTTTGAAAGTGAAAGGTTACTCTCCTAAATTGGAGGGCAAAACAAGATTCATTTTCAACTTTGTAAAGTAATTAGATGCTCCTCTACCAGCAAAAAAGATAACTTCAGTTAGAGCTTCTTTATCTTTAAGAAACTAAAAATAATTTTTTAAAAATGAAAAAAATCTGTTTTTTCCTTTGTTCCATTGAAAGCTGGTGAATTTGTTTGTTAAAAACTAAAGCTCTCATGCCAATGAGTTTAATTGGATGCAATATTACCTAGCTAGCTGGAATTCCTTAGTTACGAAATTGAATTAATGAAATTCCTTTAAATTTCAGCCATTATCTTTTAAAAATATAGTAACTTTCCATTACCGTCTCTTATTTCGCTGTTGCTCAGCCATCTGTTCTATTAGTTCTTGCCTGTATTTCTCTTTTTTCCTTTGGAGAAGTTCTCGGTCCTGACCACCTGATGGAAATGACCACACATTTGCGTAAACGCCCCACAAAATACACAAAAGGTACTGGACAAAAACATCGCATTTCAGCCAATTTAAAACATGAAACACAGAAGAGTATACAATCTGGGAACGTGCATAACAACACTGGATCTTTACTAACTTTAAAAAAAAAAAAAAAAGTAGTTTTAATACACAGTTTGTTTGGAGTATGACGACCAAAACTACTAAAATTTTTATTATTATTTTCCTAGTTTGCCTGGTCTTGTATAGTCAGAAAGCTATAGATTTTAAAGCCATGTGATACAACAGCAACTAACACCAGTTACTTAAATTTTTTTTTTTTTTCCCCTAATGCTCAGCAAGGAAGATACACTATGGCACTCCAAAATTATGAGGCACTGCTCTGGATAAAAATGAAAGTTAAAACTGAAGAAAGTCAAACCCACAGGGAGGAAAGCAAATTGCTCCAATTTTAGAATGGTTCCCATGACTACTAAGAATTAGCAAAGTATTGGCAGATATGTTATGTAAAAGGAAACAGTGATAACATCTCACATGGATTTTAAGGAACCCAAAAAACTTTCAACTTGTGGTAGTTCCCCCACAATAAGCATGGAGTCTTCTATTATTTTAAAAACATAACAAAAAAAACCATTATCACCACTTTCTATATAGTATGACTACCAGACACAAGGACTCCTAACATATTTCCATACACAAAGTCACCGTGGATCTCCAGTGAAGTAAACCTGAACAATAAAGTGAAGGAAGCTGCAAAGAAACTAAAACAAAAAAACAAACAAACAAAAAACCACAACGAAAACAACAACAAAAAAACCATGATGCATGACTGACTGAATTTTTTATTCAATTATTGTGCTGGGACTGTAAAGTGACCAAAATGTGCAAGATAACCTCATTTGTGATTTTTGGGAAGTCTGAAATAAATTCTAATTTCCAAAAATTTCAAGTTTTAATTTACTTAATCTTTATACAACACAGTTAACAATATTCTTCTCCTAACCAAGACTGCTAGGAATACAAATCACAACTTCATGTATTCAAGTTACTACAAATGACATGACTGAACAGATCAGAGAGACTGACCATCACAACACCACTGTTTTAATGCTGCCTTTAAACAGTTCCACATATAGCACTGAAGATCAGGTAAGTTCAAATGTAAAAATAAATAGAAATTATTCTGACAACTGTTAGTCAATTCTTCCACAATTCAAAGTTAGCTTGCCTTCAAAGACTCCCATCCGAAGAAATACTACAGTTCTTTTATTCTTGCCTTATAATTTTCTGAGTTTAGCTAGGAATTCTATGTTTTCAACAGTATTTCTCTCTACTACACCCAATAATAATGTTCCCTGCTAAATTTTATGGCTACACTTAAGCAGTAAGAGATGATCAAAATCATTTGTGCTTGCACAAGGTTGTAAACAGTACCATTTCCCATATTTCTGCCATTAAAATTCAGTACCCAGTCATGTCTTTAACAATACAGAGGTTAATATTTCTCCTATACTTCATTTCGTAAAAAACTTAAGAATGTATCTGGGCCTTAAACTGTTAATGAAATCTAAGAAGAAATCTGGGCTTTTCAAAATTAATTAGAAAGTCCTGTTACGTTAAGGGGGAAAAGGAACATGTTTTTCTTTTTCTATTTTCTCTATGTAAGTAATATTTATTTCCCAGTCTTGGGGACAATTAGCACAAAGAAAAAGCTAATTTTTCTAGTTTTAAATTATTCCTAAAGAAAAATAAAATATGCAAAGAAAGGCTAACTCAGTGTCATTAGTTAAGTTTTTATACATACCAAGAACAAGGCCTGTTGCATACGGCATTTCACCTGCAGACTTGGCCTGTTCATTAGCTGAAGAACTAATTTGTACCTGATTTCTGGCAAAGACAAAAAAGAAAATGGAAAAATCAAACTCAAGAATTTACTTGAAGTCTGTGTGAAACGTGATAGATGCACTTACATCACTATGTGATACACTTATGACAAACAGCTTTCCTAAAATCCAAAGAAATATCACAAGCAAAAGAAGAAACCGCTGGGCAAAAAGGCGTTTCTCACAGTTCTCGTTTGCCTGCGGTTTCTGAAGCCATCAGAAACACTGACTCAGTTGAGCACTTCAACAATGTTGATAGACTGAGTGGTGCCAGTCAAGAGTTTACGTAAGGGCTTTACAAGTGTTCTGCTTCTGCCTCATCCACTTAGCTCACTTCAAGACTTGCAAAACCAAGACAAGAGGAAAAAAAGGAATTTTAAAACTGCTGTCAAAAAAGAATCCACGCTGTTCTAATCATTAAAAGTTTTCAGTTGGAGAATAGGTGATCTATCGTTTCCAAAAGAAAACTGGCATGCAAGCTTCAATAGCTGTTCTTGAAGGAAATACGTTTTTGTTGTTCTACTATACTAGCTGCAGGAAAAACCACCAGCCATTTCAGACAACATATTAGGGATTTTAAATAAACATTTTCCTTTCACAATGATTTTGTAGTGCAATTATCATAAAAGTACACTGTATACCACACCTAGAATTTCCAGTTCTTGAGATCTGCTGCACATGTGCTCTCTCCTTTAATTCATCTTCGTAATCTGCAGGTAGATCTCTTACTATTCCATCCAGATAGGGCCTTAAAGAGATAGAAAATATTCAGCTATGCTTGCCTAAAAACATCCAATCTGAAATGGAAGGTCCGGCAGCTTCATGCAAATGGATCCTCAGCCTGATTGCACACTGGACAAGCAGAACCAGTTCTGAAAATATCACACACAATTTCTAGAAATAATTCACTTTGCTAGCATTGTCAAGGCAGCTCTGTCTGGAGTTTGAATTCCCAAGTCTGCTTTCATGCAACCTTTATCTACTGAGCCTGGTTAAGAGTTTTGAGAGCTGAAGACCATTCAGCATTCACACTGCATTAATTAAAACAGATCTTGCTGTTAATCCCTCTTAATCCCCAGGAGCCAACAAAGTCTACAACAGATTTTGGCACACAGCTATTGGGGACAAGTCTGGTGAAACAGTTAATTCAGATATGAAAAGCTTCTTTAATTACCTACCCTTCACTATGCACCTGATGCCATTTAAAAGAGAGAGGTGACTTTTGATCAAGATAAAATACAGGTAACATGGTGAATACAAAAATTCAGGAACTAAAATTTGAATCATCTACATATGAAGTGAAGTAATACACTTGAAACTTCAAATAATTCCAAAAATGCCAAAAATTGTATGGACACAAGGGAGCTTTTCCTGAAAAGATCTGGGGTAGTTGAATTTACAGGCTTTTCTTGCCTTACAAATCAACTACTCTTTAATGATGACTTCAAGTTATCTTAATAAAATAAGGCAAGAATAGGTATTCAATGAAAAATAAAGTACCCAATAGATGCTAACAAAGTTATATATTTTCCAGAGCTGGACAAAGCCATCGACTTCCTATTAAGGAAATCAACAAAAAATACTAGGTAAGCATAGAAAAAACCCATCTTATTCTTTTATGTAGAAAGATCCACAGCTCTCCCCATCTTTGCAATTTAAATAAAAGTGAATAATCAAAGGTGAAAGGATGCAAGCAGATTATCAAACGTTGATTTGGCATCTTAACAACCCACAAGAACAACATGAAAGAACGACATCCATCCTCTTGGCATAACATGATCAAGAACATCTTTTTGATAATGATCGATCTGCTACTTACAAGGCTGGTCAGGTAAGACTGAAACACAGTCAGGAAATAGAAAGCCTAGTCCATAGCGTGATAAAAGTATGCAGGAGGAAGCGAAGAAACAAACCTTGGGATTCAAGAGGCAACCTTTTTTGTAAAAAGTAGCAAGCTTAGCATGGCAGGCCCAGACATGTTGGCCCAATTCAATCAAGAAGCTGCTGTATTCTCTTTATAGGACAGACCTGGCTGCTGGGGATGGACTAAAGCATTCCACTCGTAAGAACCAAAACATTTTGCACTTCCTCTCACTTTCCTGTCACCATTTCTATTTACTGAAATACACTACAGCCTTTGTGCCTCAATCAAAACAGAAACCTTTCTGAAAAGTGCCACTACAAACACCTGCCTCTCCAAATTAATAAAGCCCATTTAAAAACATAAAAATTTCAGTACAGCAAATAAAAATATTCCTCCTTATGAATTTAGTGTCCGTAAAGAATCAAAGGCGTTCTGGAAAAGTTGACTTTGCCTGAAATGTAAAAAAAAAAAAATATGCTAACTCTTCAGAAGCTAAGCTGTCAGTAACTAATAAAGGTGTCCTTCTTGAAGAAAGACTGAATATAGTTAATAAAAGGTTAAATGGAGCTCCTTGCGAAAAAGAAAAAAAGTACGAGATTACAAAGCACATTTAATTTAAAAAAAAAAAAAAAAAAGGCAATTTTCAATAAAAATTCAGCAAAGTAGAAAATACACACCAGAAAACCAAACCTTAATTAATGTATAAATTTAAGTTCAGGCAATTCAGGTGATGGTCCAGCAACTTATTTTAAGAAGACGCACCAAGTTTGCCAATAACAAAGATAAGACTATCTTCTGTACTTTCTTTTAAAAGAAAACTGGAACTAAAACTGTTTCAGAGGCCTCTCCAAATAAGCAATGAATTGCATAGTGATATATTGGTCACAGACATTTATGTAAGCACCATCAGTGTTTTCTGGAATAACTAAGAACTGGTATACTTCTATTCAACGTGATACTGTTTACTGTTACTTCAAACACCATCCTTGCTGATATTTTACATATATAATTCTGTATATATTCTTTGATAAACAAAGTAAACCCTCAAACTTTATCAAATGGTCTTTTTTATTTAAATATTAGACTCTGTGTCCAATTGCATTAGACAGTGGCAAACAGTTACCTAGTAAAAAGAGGACATCCTTCTGGGTGTTAATTAACACAGAGGATTAACGTTGCTGTTACGTCTCAAAAATATGGACATTTTGGTTATCTTTGTTAGATACCAAGTCAAGCTTCTAATATTTTTCTTTCCGAAAAGTTGTAGGACAAGAAGACCCTACCCTAAAACCTCTTTTGCTCATTTCTACCAATATTACACTACAGGATGGAACAATTTTTGTATTTTGCATTCTCTTGTCCGAATCTCATTCAGCAGAAAACAGGTAATCTTGTTCCTGCTATCTATTTAACCACTGTTTTCCATTTGCTGGTCTTTTTCAGAAACATTGTATGAATAAATACATGCTTTTAGAAGCACATCTGAGCATGCAATCTGAAACTCTGAAATAACCCGTTTATTTAGTCTGCATCTCCCAAATGCTTCCAGACATTTCATTTTCTCCATAGTTACTTAATTCCTTTACGATTTTTTTTTAAAAGGCTGAGAAAGAATATCAAAAGCTATTTTTGTAGAGAAGTTATTTTAACTCTATTGGCATCTGAAACTGGAAAAGAAGCATGACTTCATTCAATTTAGAAAACACTTTTGCAGTAGAAGGCATTTTAGGGTTTGTTTTTCCCAGAAAATTATCCCAGAAAACTATCCAGAAAATTATCCCTGTAAACAATGACTCAAAAGATCATTTAACCAGTCTACTAGCAATTAACAACAAAACATGACCATAGTATTTAACACTGTTGAAAGTGGTAGAATTTGCCTTCTTTTTTTTCCAGAAGTGTTAATTCTAGAAAAAAAAAAAAAGCGGTCATTTTGCCTAACAAAGGAAAGACAGTGGTGTTTCCTTCACTGAAGCAACTGCAATAAAATAATTCTGGCAACAGGCTTAACACAAAGGCAAAAAAAAAAAACCCAAACCATCTACAATACTCATGTTCCCAAGATCTGTAAAATGAAAAAATGAACACTCTTCAAGCACTTTTTAAAATTTAATTACAAGAAACTTTACTGCTTTATTTCATTTGAATTTAGCTGTATAAAACACATCTGTTTCAAGTTTGGTACTATTTCATACCACTACCCATCTGTTTTTGAAAGCAACTGGTTCTTGCAATGGAATAACCAAAGGTGGCCAGACTGCCAAACCCTGAATGATTGGGAAGATTATGTTGTTTTTTTTTTTTTCTTTTAAATGAGTGAGCTAGAAGAGACAGATTAACAATTTATGTCAAAGTAACTAAACTGATTTATCAGTTAACACAGTAAAGACTAGGCTTTACAATTAAACAGTATAAACTACTGAACAGCACATAATATCACTTTTCCTCCTGAATGATATATCTAAAACACCCTCTTTTGTTTGGTTTGGGTTTTCTTCAATGTTTATTCAAATTGTGTAGTTATTACTGAGATTAGCACCTATTAACACCATCAGGATTTGGTTCAACTATGCTAAATGGCAGATTTCCAACATAAGTAAGACATGCAGTAAAAAAGAGGATTTTTTAAAAAATATATTTTTACATTTATAACACAAAGTGGCATGTACCAAAAATTGAAGCTCAAACCAATTTTAGAATCTGAATTGAAAATTGACTTGCTATAACTATTAGAGAGTAAGAAAATACATGTAATCTTGGGTTCCCAGTGCAGGGGTTTGCTCTCAAATACTCACATGTTTTCTGGCAAACTGTCCTGGTTTCAGCTGGGATAGA